CAAATTTACACTGTTATACAAGCTGTACACTCACTACTTTACATTGTAGCAAAGTGTCATTTCTTCAGTGTTGTCACATGAAAAGATATAATACATAAATACAAAATATAATACATATAATATATATAATACAAAAAATACAAAAATGTGAGGGGTGTATTCACTTCTGTGAGATACTGTGTGTGTGTATATATATATATATTTAATTTTTTTCTTTTTATTAAATCCTGAAAAAAGTATCATGGTTTTTACAAAAAAATTCTTATCATAAGACCTGTTCACAGCAATAGTGAATTTGCAATCCCTGTATAAAAAGCTCAATAGGAATGCTCTATAATACATAGTAAATAAAGGCTTTTAGCTTCCTTAAGCTAGATACTATTAAAAACACATAAATAAGTGAAGAAGAATTATCTTTAACACCTGCATTTACATTCTTCTTTATTTAACACACTCACCTGACCCAGAAAAAGTAGCAGAAGATAGAAAGATATAGAGATGAGAGTGTGAAAGTGAGAGAGATTGAGTGAGAAGGATCAGAATTATCCATCATCTCTTTCCTGGTATGTAGATACAAACTCACTGAAAAAAAGAATCCCAGGAAAACTAGAGGCAAAATGAAAGTACAGCCTGAAGAAATCTGTTTAAAGCACTACAAAAATAATTTTCTTAATTTTTTCCCCCTGACAAAAACCATCTTTAAAGTGAAATAAGAAGCAAAATTATGCAAGTCTTGATTCAGAGATATGATCTTGAATTTTTGTTCTAATTAGATTTTTTTTCTTGCTTTAAGCATAAACCTCACTTTTTTTAGATTATGCTTAAAACAAGTAGAAAACCATTTGCTTACATAAAATTGAAGATATGTTCTCTGAATTGTTTTGATGTTTTGTTATTTCTATGGTTTTTGAAGTGCCACTACCTTGATGGTGTGAAACGCAGGCGGGAGGACCGATCTGGTGTTGAAACGCGTTAAAAAGGAAAAAGATTAAAGGAGAGAAGGAAACAAGCAGATCTCTGATTGCATTTCTCATTGGAATGCTTACTGAAAGATCTGCCGCAACCATCAGATTTACCAATATGATAACACCGAACAGGAAGTGGAGCTGCGCTTATCTGTGTCTGTTTGTTGACAACCTCATTTAAGATGAACCATCCCAGAGATATCAGAAGAAAGTGAGATAAACACCTCAAGGTCTTCTAACACATTTGCGTGTTTGAGTGTAGAGTGGAAGCTAATCAGGGTCATCAGACAAGGCTATGTTGGATGCATGCATGGGGAAATTAGTTTTTTTTTGGTCACGAAAACTCAGAAAAGCTTCCTATGAATGGACTTGCCTCGCATAATTTCACAGCATTAAACCTATTTAGCCAGCTAAATTGAATGTATGCTACTCAACAGCAAGATTTAGCACACCAACAATATGATGCAACTTAAAAAAGATCAGAATTGTAGCATTTTTTTTGTACTTTATTGCTGCTTGAGGGAAATTACTGCAAAAGCTACATTATTTTGAAAACCGCTTCGCTGCTAACAAGCTGTTGACAATTATAGCTAAAGTGTTAGCATAGCTACTTTTATTTAATTTCTCCACAACACTAACTAGCATTGTTTTTCACACATTGGTTCCCACACTTTGTTTAACACCTGAAAAGGAGTGCTACAGTTTGTTAAACTGTTCGCCAAGCCTAAGCCTGATACTTCAAGCACATTAAGTGATATGAATCAATAATCTGAGGTGTTGTATTTGGCTATGTTCAGTACACAAGACAAAATGAGAAAGGTCTGGGCTTACCAGAAATACCATACATAATAGACTGTCACATCAAATCCTGATGTAAAATAAATAGGCCTAACTATAGTGTATTATGGACTGCGATCTTGTGAAAACAAATTCTGACATCTTTAATAAGCTCTTTTAACTAGAGCAAGGACTTTGGGTCATCGCACCAAATGGAGCCGTGGCCTGCTAATTATTACCACGTTTCTGCTGCTTGGTTGCTGTTTGTGAAAAGGGAAAAATGAAGAGTTTTCAGAAATAATTCACTGTAGGATCACATGGGTCAGGGTAACACGTGGTGCTCGATTTGTCGCTGAGTGTGCGCCTGTGTCTGTGAGCGTGATCTATGACCCTCACTCTCACTGAAACTGTGGGCCAACGCAAACAGCGGCTCCCACCAATCCCTGAGGGGAGACTCCCAACCGTAGAGATTCACACTCCCTCATCTCCTCCTCACTTTCTTCATCTCTGCTATTTTGGTTCTCTTATTCCTACTATGTTCTTTCAATTAATCTTCTCCCCAATTCACTTTTTCTTTGTCTTATTTCTCATATGCTTTATAAGTTCTTCTCAGATGAGTAGCATTTCCCCTAGGTCCATAATACTAAACAGACTGCCGCCGAAATGCCTGGTTATGAATGTACAGTGGCCCCAAAAGAATTTGGTCACTGAAGCCACAAACATTTTTATGTCTTAACCGTATATTTACATTTGATATTGTATTATATTATTTTATTAGGCTATATATTTTTATTATATATATATTATTTTATTTTATTTGTCATATTATTATGGATTCAGTGTCCAGATGTCCTTTTAAAGGTCATTTTAAGGGCTGTCTCAGTCGCGAAATCCTTCCAGTGCACTGGAAAATTCGCTCCCTGAAAAATACCACAATGCACCACAAAAACTAGGGAGCATCGGCGCTCACTATGCTCCCTTACCGGAAATAACATCACATTTCTGAAGCGCGAAACATAAACCACACGAGCAAACTCGATAAATAAAATGACACACGACAGAAGATTTGAAAAGACAAACTGTTTTTTTAGTATATTTCAACATAAACACACATCGCTAGACAGGAATTGAACACATCTAATTAACATTTATAATTAATATTCGGCTGAAATGTTGTAAGAACTTGTAACAGAACGATGTGTTTAAAGAGAATAAAAAATAAATATCAAAAAGAGATCGGTTCTGTCTGTTGTTTATTAATTCCAGTAATGACGTTCTACTATGTCCGTTGACGTTGTACGTAATCATGTCACTGGAATTCGAGTGATCACTGTCCCAACGTGCAGTGAGTCAGGGAACTTACCAGTGCCCAAATTTGTGTACACAATCTACTGAATCATGAGCTCGGGGGCTAGGGAGCTGATTGAGACGCACCCTATGTGTTGACGTCATTTTAACTGAAACAGGAAGACAGGGCGGGACATATCAAGCAGCCCTGCCCCTTTTTAAAATATCCAATAGCTTTCGTTTATATCACAGCTTGGGCTAGAGCCTTTCAGAGCCGTTGAGCTCCATAAAGCCGCATTTGACGGGGTATGCCAGCCACAATCTCGTCCATATTGCTAAAAAATATAGCATTCTGCGTAGAATTCAAATAGCTCTGATACATTTTGTGGTCTGCGCCGACTCGCGCATGTGATCTGCTCTGTGCTATCGTGTCTCTGGACCGGAGCAGAGTGTGTGTGCGGTGCGGTGGTTAGAGTGACACAGCGCGAAACCAAACTTCTTTTTTTCCTCAATGGAAAGCATATTTACACTATTTGAATCGTTCCCTGTCCCCTATATAGTGCACTACGTGCCATTCACTGTACAGAAAATACTAATTCTGTGGACAAGTGACCGATTTCAGCTGCGGCTTCAGCGTCTATTTTATAGTGTAGGGGGTGGGTGCTTCGGATTCTAGAGAGCATTTGATTGGAAAGAAAGTTTGATGAGAAGCTGAAGTACGATGTGACGTCAAAAAAAATCGTTGAGCCGTTTTGGTGGAAGTGACGAACTGCAAGCTTTGAATGCTTATATCTTCTAAATGCGAATTTTGTCACTGTTTTGGAGCACACTGCCTTATAGATAACCTTAAGACTAACATATTGATACTAACACCCAAAAAACTTTAATTTTGATTTCATGGGGACTTTAAGTGTCTTTATTTTATTTTATTCAATAAACTATTCAATCAGAACATTTCACAAAATGGCTGTTGAAAATATGAAACAAATGTAATGTTCAAAATGAATACAAACTAAAAATCCTTTGACACTTTCTAGTTGTCACATTTTGTGGAACATTAATATAATGAACACTGGTGGTTATTCTCCTGGCAGCTGTATTAACTTAAAGGGTTAGTTCACCCAAAAATGAAAATTCTGTCATTAATTACTCACCCTCATGTCGTTCCACACCCCTAAGACCTTCGTTCATCTAGCGTTTCTATAACAATATAAAAGGCACTTTTATTACAAAAAAAAAATTCTCACTTGGAAAGATTTTCTTTTTTCCTTGTTTGTGTGTCACTTTACATAAAAGCATGTGCTAAATAAATAAATAGACTCTTTCACTCTGTCCTTTTTAGAGCTGAAGTCTACTGGAACTATCCATCACTTTGCCTTTCTGCTCAACTCGACGGACTACAGAATCCTTCGTATGGACGAGGACCATGATCGCATGTACGTGGGCAGCAAGGACTACATCCTGTCACTAGACCTGAACGACATCAACAAAGAGCCCCTCATAGTAAGATTTCTCAGTTACACAATACAGATTGCAACAAACCAAACTATAAGCAAGGCTTGACAGTCTAAATCTGGTCACATCTTTCTCCTCAGATTCACTGGCCCGTGGCTCCTCAGAGGAGGACTGAGTGTGTCCTCTCAGGAAAAGACATCAATGTAAGAATACGCAAGATTTTTTTATGGAAATTAATTACTTTAATTCAGAAAGGACACATTAAATCAATCCAAAGTGACAAAGATACATACGATTTATTTCAAACAAATTTTGTTCTTTTGATCCTTCTATTCATCACGTTTTATTTTGAAATATATTAAAATAAAAAATATTAAATTGTAATATTTCACAAGATTACTGTTTTATAGAAAGCATAGGAACATTTTTACCAACACCAATATTCTGAATGGTAGTCTGTAAATATAATATATTTTATAATATAATATTATTTTTAATATTCTCTGTTTATTTTATAGGTGCCTTTTTTTTTCTCTTTCTCATAGTTTTAATATCGGTGCATCACTACTACAGTAATTACCACAACCATTGTAAAACTTAAACTAGTTATTCCAACATGGGCATGTCAATATCCATCTGAAAGTATCATTTCACCATGACAGCGTCACTGATATCATTCTGTTCTGTGTCAACAGGGCGAGTGTGGTAATTTCATCCGTCTAATCGAGCCGTGGAACAGGACTCACCTGTATGTGTGCGGGACGGGAGCTTACAACCCCATCTGTACCTATGTGGACAGAGGTCAAAGGGCACAGGTAAACTGTCATTCGCAGATGACCCGCTACCATTTGCAGGTCAAGGGTTCAAACGGTTGGCTACCTTATTCAAAAGGTATTATTTAATTAGAGAGGAATGTTTCTCCACCCTGGAACAAACAGGATAATCTTTACCACCTGCATGTCTTTTGACTCTGTTACTTCAAAAACTCTTCCTAGTGTTTAGGAGGGTAATTGCATTTAAATAGTCCTAATTTCACCTCCCTTCTTTCCCATGACCATGTCCCATCATTAACCACTGTCCATAAGAACATCATTCAAAATGGTCTGAGATCACATTGAAAATCTGGAAAGTTTTTTTTTTACTTGAAATTGTAAACTGGAAGTAGAGATCTAAAAGAAATTGAAATTGATTTAAAATTCTGCGCTATTTCTAGGACACTTTTCAAATATAAGCACATTTTTGACTGATCATGTGAAATTTAATGTTTTTCCACTCACATATTGATTAAATAATTTGCAATTAATAAAAAAAAAATGTATTCAAATATTATTATAAAATTAGCATTTTCACTAGTGGTCTCAGGCTTTTGGATCCTACTGCATTTGTTCTCCTTTAATGGGGTTCTGCAATATGCATGTCTGTTTTTTTTTTGTTTTTTTTCCATACGCAAAGGCAATTTCATGTGTTAACATGGGCTTTCAGCATGTGCATGTTTTAGACAACTTCATATCAACTCATCTTCTTTGTCCACTATGGATACACCAAACTGCAGCCATCTTTCTAGCATCTCAACATCTTGTTTGGACACAGCCTTGGCCATTCTCGTGGGTCCTAATTTAATGAATAGAAATAGGTCTTTATTGAGGCACATACCTTGTTTTATAGGGCATGCTCCAAGATCAGATGCCTCGCGCGGGAGGCCGAACCAGTCGAGCCGCAGACCCTAGTGCTTCACCAGAACCATACGCACCCAAGGTGGGAAATGAACTCTTCAGTGGGATTGAGGTCCTTTTTGTACTTTATTTTGGACTTTCTTAAGATGCACTTTCAAGATATGGTTTTTACTTAGAAGTGTAAGGAAAGGTTCTGTTCTCACAGTATTTGGATTTTCAACAGCTGGTTTCCTCAGCCGCTAAAGGCGTTGAGAGAAACAGCAGAGAAACTGTTGTCTTTAGAGTTTGTCTTTGTCAAGTTTGCCTACACTTGTCCAGAACCTGCCTTTGGCACAGAAATCTAGCAGAACGTGCACAGATTACTCCCACACCCACACTCCATCATGCTTGAAAGTGGTTAGTCAGCAGAAAATATATTTGTGGTGTGCGTGTAAAGCTTAGAAAGTACAAGGTTCCAAAAACCTTTTGTATATTATCCAAAACAAGTCTTTCGTGGAGACTTAAACTTGCTGATATCTTCTTTGTGGCATGTTGTAGACTCTTTAGATGTCCTTCTACATCTCTGCTTAGATTTTAGTTAATGTGTTAATTCATGTTAGATTTTTCACAATTGCTGTTCATTAATAATACTGTTTTACATCTGTGTGACTGTAGATGGAATGCAAACTGCATGGAGTTAAGTGGACTATTAGCTCGAAGAGATTTTGTTTTTCTAAATACCAGAATTTAATAGTTGTCACTAACCCAACAGAACCATATAGACTATTATTAATGCAAACCCACAGAAATAGCCCGGAGAGAAGGACAGATACTGATGTAAAGCAATGGTTTAATTTCACACATACAGACTCTCAAGGTGTCCATCAAATCAAACTTTACAGCTAGAATTTGTGTGGTGTCTAACAGTGAATCTTCATGGCTAACGTGACCTCACTTCCTCTACAGAATGATGATGGAGGACACTGCTGTCTGGTAAATAAGTGGAGTACCTTCCTGAAGGCTCGGCTCATCTGCTCTGTGACTGGCTCTGATGGCATTGAGACACATTTCGATGAGCTTCGTAAGTCTCTCTTTTAGCTGAGCCATAAATTTCCTGTGACTTGATCATTTCTGATGTTGATTACTGACATTTGATCTAGATTAGATATCTTTAGATCAGCATGCTGTACAATATTAAGTCAGATTTACTTTTGTTAAGTCAGAAAATACTATTTTTAAAGCCCATTTTTAACTGTCCTCTTTGGCCGTTTGAATTTAATAGGACAGGACACTTTAAATTAAATACAAGCAGTCCAAGAGGACAGTTCTATATAGTTGAATTACTGTTGTGGTACCATAGTGAAATACTGGTGTGATTAGATAGAACAATGGTACTTTTGAATATATTAAACATAATGTAATTTGAGTTTTTTATATGGTAAATATCCAAAATACCATGGTATTACCATGGTAATACAATGTACTGTTTGTTACTGTTTTGTAGGTGTAATACCATAGTAAGTTGATATATACCATAATGTCATAATGCCCCCTTACAAAAAAAATACTGAGGTAATACAATAGTAAAGTGTTGTTTCATCAGATAAACCATGGTAATTTTAAATATTTTAAATATACCATTGTACTATAATTTGTAATACATATAGTATATTTTTATCTTGTACATATCCAGAATACCATGCTAATACCACAGTACTTTATTTTTTTACCTTTTCGTAAGTGCAATACTGTGGTACTGTGATATATACCATGATACTTACCTTTACAAAAAATTACTGTAGTGGTACCATGGTAAAGTGTTAGCATCATCAGATAAAAGCATGGCACTTTTAAATATACCATTTTAAGTATACCATGTTACTATAATTATATATATTTTTTAGATTATTAGATTTTTTTTTAGATTATTAGATTTTTTTATAGATAATTTGATTTTTTTATTATTTGGTACATGTCCAAAATGCCATGGTAATACCGTAATACTTTATTGTCAGTGTACTTAACAAAACGTTATGTACAAAAAGAACTGTATTTTGGTGCTGCCATAAGTGATCTGATGGTAACACTATAGTACTTTGTATCGCAATTTATGATTTTTTAAAATGGTACCCCATAGCCCTTCCAAAAATACCATAGTACTAGCATGGTACATGGCCAAAAACGTCGTATTGGCATAGTACATGTCTAAGACAAACATAATAGTACAATGACACTTTTTGTCAGAGTGCTGATTATTTAATAAATCTTTCCATCTAATTCGGATATCTTGGGGACATTTTATGTTCTGTGATTCTGTGGAGATTACAAAACATGAAATAAAACAGCTTTACCATTTGATTGACTCCATATATACAGTGAGGTGTTCACCCAAGGTACATTATATTCAGTTCTGTTCTGTTCTGTTCATTTTCACGGTATACTTGCTGAAATAAGAGGCCTCTTATGTCAGGATAGGGCATGATATAGGTAATTTGTGGAAACCATTCATGTCTGATGGTTCAATGGATATGTCTCTCCAGAGGGTATAACTTGGAAAAAGTAATTTCCTCTCTTTCCTGTATGTGCAGCATGTAGCATTTGTGCTTAAGCGTAAAGTGCCACAAGGGCCTGTGAGAAATATATAGAGGCAAGCAGTTCTGAGTATGAAATTGAAGTTCCTGTAGAGCATAAAATTACAAATTGGACTTTTAAAAACTGGCTGAAAATTGCTTTTTTTGTGGTTTTACATTATGCTTCATACATGATTGTGCATTTATGTGCACATGTGTGAGGTAACGCATGCATGTAAGCTGCATCTTAACAGGCTTAAACAAAATGGAGTCTTTCCCGGTGTGGGAGAGTTTGATTGACAGGACTGAATAGGATTGGCTGACAAACCAGCTGTAACAGCCTCTGCCGCTCTTCAGAGGCAAATGAATGTAAGCGCATGAATGCTAGAATTTTATTGCTTTTGCAATGTGCATAAATCGAGTAAGTGATCATTCTATGTTTGCTTCATTTCACAGCTCCCATAACATAGCGCACAAGGTACCCTCAGGACTCCTTTCTTCGTCTCTCTTTCTCACTTGGTTGGTCATTCTCCCTCCCTCTGCCACTGTGTTTGAGGAATGAACTTGTCCGTGGAGTTTTTGACTAGATGTTTTCCCTTTTCCTCAGAGCGGCAGTGAGGTTTTATGGGTTGTTTTTTGTGGCTTGGCAAGAGCGAGATTCATTTGCTGTAGTCTGGGATTTTCCCTCAGCACTTGATTACTTAGTCCGTTTAGCCGTGACTATCCGTCTGAGGTCATCTTCGTTCTGTTTTTGATGGGACATCTGTCTATGCTTTTACCACTTGCCCTCCTTATTCCCTAAACTATCTGAGTCTCCTTTTGATTTCTTTACTTCTGCCCCTTTTTTAACCTTCTATGTACCTCTGTCTCCCATCCCCCTTACATTGTCCTTCAAGTAAAACGTTGATGGTGCTCAACTGCTCTTACAATGAAGCCCCCCCACAAAACAGTCCCACTCTGCACGTTATACTCTGTTTCTCCCAATGGCCTATTTACATCTTTGTCGTTTTGGCTAGCAGACTATCACTGGTCCTTTGTGGTTAATTTGTGTCGAAACAAGATGGAGAATTTTGGAGACTGAGACAAAGACAGAGAGGAACAGTGAGAGGGAAAGATTGTCCTCTCAGTGCGTTGTGTTTTGTGTGATGTAACTGAACGGAGATAGATTTGACGACTTGCCACATACACTCACAGACTTTTGGCTTTTTGTGTGCCTTGCTGATATGTAACGAATCAGCTCATGGGAAATATGAATAATTAACCATAACTAGTTATAATTAATTATGAATATTTTAGATCCGCTGTAGATATTTAGCTGACCTCTCAGGGTCAACTGTCTTGTCAATTCTAAGAACGTTAATTTCCTGGTTAAGGGAAATAACTTTCTTACTGTACAATTCTACAAAAAAAAGGTCCATCCCCAAACATTGGTTTAGCCATTGTTGCTATACCAAATAATTGTATGCTTAGACAAATAATGCTCAAATTTGGAATTAGTGTGTCCCAAAGTACATTGAAAACTATGGAGCCCCTTATAGTGATGGAAAAATATGAGATTGGAGGAAAAAAGTAAATTTTCAGTGATTGGATTGTGACATTACATACAGATGGTTATAGTGGTCAGCAGATCTTCATAAAGACAACGCACATATAATGTATATATATACAGTGGTGTGAAAAAGTGTTGGCCCCCTTCCTTCACACCACTGTATATATATATATATATATTTTACTTTGTATATCAATATTCCATTCTCTGTGTGACGAGGCCAGTGTGGTCTAATACTGTGTCTACCACCTCTCTTTTTGTTTCAACGCATGGATTCTTGTCTTTCTGCATCTCTAGGTCTGTGTTTAAAGGTTCAGCAGTATGTGTGTATTCAATGGCTGATGTCCGCATGGTCTTCAATGGTCCTTTCGCTCATAAGGAAGGGCCAAACTACCAGTGGGTTGCCTACCAGGGTAAAATTCCTTACCCCCGACCAGGAACAGTGAGTGTCATTAGTAACATTTAATACATTATATAAAGACGATGTTAGACAATCTTAGATGGTGAAATACAAAAAAAAAAAAACTCAGTTTTATCCCTGTGATTTCAGTGTCCAGGAGGGACGTTCACCCCCAACATGAAGTCTACTAAAGACTATCCTGATGAGGTTATCAACTTCATGCGCAACCATCCGACCATGTTCAATGCCGTTTATCCAGTCCACAAGCGCCCCCTAGTTGTCCGTACTAATGTGGATTATGAGTTCACCACCATCACAGTGGACCAAGTGGCTGCAGCTGATGGCAACTATGAAGTGCTTTTCTTGGGAACAGGTGAACTTGCTACACATCTCCACATAGACATAGTCTTTTTATGTTATGTTTTTATATTTATTTTTTACAAAAACAGTATGCATACTCTGGTGTCTAAAAGTCTGGGACCACATTGAAATCTGGCATTCATAATCTAATTTTAATTTATAAATAAACACAGTGGTTTAAATTTTGAAAAACTAATTGTATGGAAAGTGTATAACAATTTAGAACTGCAAATTTGTAACACTGTTAATATTAATGCTTTTGTACACAACGAAGCAGCTCTAGATCTATAAATGCAAACTCTGGTGTCTAAAAGTCTGGGACCACATTGACATTTGGCATTCAGAATCTAATTTTAATTTATAAATAGACACAGTGGTTTAAATTTTGAAAAACTAATTGTATGGAAAATGTATAACAATTTAGAACTGCAAATTTGTAACACTTGTAATATTAATGCTTTTGTACACAACAAAGCAGCTCTAGATCTATAAATGCAATTTAGTAGAGTCATTGTCTTTTTCTGTTTTAATAGCTCTCAAGTAAATTTAAGCCAACTTCATTCTTTATAATATTATATGTTATAAATATTTCTGACTCCTCTATTCTGGTCATTTACAGATAGAGGGACAATTCAGAAAGTGATTGTCCTGCCCAGAGATGATCTACAGACTGAAGAGCTGGTTCTGGAAGAGGTTGAGGTCTTCAGAGTAAGATTGTCTTTTTATGTTCCCATTACACTTTGTGTCAACACATTGAGAACAATATACTGTTTGTTTGGTTTTTTTCGTTAGTTTTTTTTTATTTTTTATTAAAATGTATATTTTATGTTATTATATTTCATAAAATTCAAAAACATATCGTTCATTTGTATTATATTTTTATATTTATTTTTTCAATAAAAAAATAACTACAATTCTTTTCATATTACAGGTTCCAACTCCAATCACTACTATGAAAATTTCTCCAAAACGGGTAAGTTGCACATCATTTACTGTATGATTCAGAACTTTAAACACAAATTTTGTAATATTAATAGCAAATAATATTAATAGATAACAAATATTAATAGCAAAAATATTAAATACAGTTTTAAAACAGGAATTATTTAAAAAATTTTAAGCAGATGGTTTTATGCAATGCAGTTTACAGATGAGGAACATTTGTCATCTTGGGATTTAATGATGTATTTTGAAAAAAACTCTTCTTTTATTTTCCTGTCTTCCTGTGTAGCAACAGCTGTATGTAAGTTCAGTGATGGGCGTCACTCATCTGGCGCTGCACAGGTGTGATGTGTACGGAGAGGCCTGTGCTGACTGCTGCTTGGCCAGAGACCCTTACTGTGCCTGGGATGGAAAGTCCTGCTCTCGCTACTCAGCAAACCAAAAAAGGTTAGAGCTGCATGTGTGTAAATATCTTTATTGTTGGATCATTATACTTAGAATATAACTTACAAGATTTGTTTTCCTCATTTGAAATTGGTTGTCTGAATCTTGTAGGCGGAGTCGGAGGCAAGATGTGAAGTATGGCAACCCTATAAGGCAATGCAGGGGCTATAATTCCAATGGTGAGGAACCTAAAAATACACTTGGTGTTAAGATTTTTTAGTCTTAAGATTAGACTGAAACATATTTTGGAAAAGGTAAAATAGCTCCGAATAATATTAATAGATAACAAATATTAATAGCAATAATATTAAATACAGTTTTAAAACAGGAATTATTTAAATTTTTTTAAGCAGATGGTTTTATGCAATGCAGTTTACAGATGAGGAACATTTGTCATCTTGGGATTTAATGATGTATTTTGAATGAAACTCTTCTTTTATTTTCCTGTCTTCCTGTGTAGCAACAGCTGTATGTAAGTTCAGTGATGGGCGTCACTCATCTGGCACTGCACAGGTGTGATGTGTACGGAGAGGCCTGTGCTGACTGCTGCTTGGCCAGAGACCCTTACTGTGCCTGGGATGGAAAGTCCTGCTCTCGCTACTCAGCAAACCAAAAAAGGTTAGAGCTGCATGTGTGTAAATATCTTTATTGTTGGATCATTATACTTAGAATATAACTTACAAGATTTGTTTTCCTCATTTGAAATTGGTTGTCTGAATCTTGTAGGCGGAGTCGGAGGCAAGATGTGAAGTATGGCAACCCTATAAGGCAATGCAGGGGCTATAATTCCAATGGTGAGGAACCTAAAAATACATTTGGTGTTAAGATTTTTTAGTCTTAAGATTAGACCGAAAACATATTTTGGAAAAGGTAAAATAGCTCCTTTTGATTTTGGTTATTGTTTTAGATAGTATTTTGTTTTAATTCCTGCCAGCCAATAAGAACACGTTGGAGACAGTGCAGTATGGAGTAGAGGGAAGCACAGCCTTCCTGGAGTGCCAGGCCAGATCTCCTCATGTGTCAATCAAGTGGCATTTCCAGAAGGAGAACAGTGACAGGAGGAGAGAGGTATGTGCGACAGAATGTTATGCCATAATTGATGCATGTTAAAGCAATATCCTGAATGTTGTGAATTTTAATAATGCAACAATTACCATAGATATTATTTGCTTAATATAATCCTGTACACTACTGGTCAAATATTTGGAATAATTAAGATTTTGAATGTTTTTGAAAGACATCTCTTGTGCTCACCAAGGCTGCATTTATTTTCTGAAAAATACCATAACAAATAGTAATATTGTGAAATATTATTACAATTTAAAATGGCATTTTTCTATTTTAAAATATTTTAAAGTGTAATTTATTCCTGTGATGCAAAGCTGAATTTTCAGCAGCCATTCCAGATCTCCTCATGTGTCAATCAAGTGGCATTTCCAGAAGGAGAACAGTGACAGGAGGAGAGAGGTATGTGCGACAGAATGTTATGCCATAATTGATGCATGTTAAAGCAATATCCTGAATGTTGTGAATTTTAATAATGCAACAATTACCATAGATATTATTTGCTTAATATAATCCTGTACACTACTGGTCAAATATTTGGAATAATTAAAATTTTGAATGTTTTTGAAAGACATCTCTTGTGCTCACCAAGGCTGCATTTATTTTCTGAAAAATACCATAAAAAATAGTAATATTGTGAAATATTATTACAATTTAAAATGGCATTTTTCTATTTTAAAATATTTTAAAGTGTAATTTATTCCTGTGATGCAAAGCTGAATTTTCAGCAGCCATTACGCTAGTCTTTAGTGTCACATGATCCTTCAATTGTTTTAATTGTTTGAAATTGATAATTGAGAAAAATAAAACAATTAATGATGACCAGTTCAGGAAAAATCCCTTTTCACATCAATGTACATTTTAACCTAATATCTTTTTCCCAACAACCTAATGTATTTCAGATCCGTTCTGATGGACGCGTCGTTCGTACAGAGCAGGGTCTTCTCCTGCGCTCTCTCCAGCTCTCTGATGGAGGGGTTTTCCAGTGCACCTCCACCGAGAAGAACTTCAAGCACACGCTGGTCAAACTTCAGCTGGTGGTCCTTTCGGCCCGCACCGTCAACACCATCCAGACTGAATCCACCGCTCCCGCCGTGCCGCCTTTCCAGTCCAGCACCTGGACGCCCAGCGCAGAGCAGTACAAAGACCTGCTGACCATCCTCAGCCAGCCAGAGATGGGCCTCATCAACCAGTACTGCCAGGACTACTGGCAGATGGGGGACGAGCCCGCAGCTCACGCACACAAGAAGGACCTCAAGGAAGTACAGAAAGACCTCCGGAAGCCACGAAACAGGAGACACCACAAGGAGCAGAGCAGCATGGCTGAGACATGAGACGGAAAAACATCCCACTCCATCCAAATGAGCAAGACTCGAGGCTGACCTCAAGGTCTTTGACTACCATTACACACAAGCGTATACCCACAACCATTATGACTGAGGAGAAAATAAACAATACGGTTTTGAAAATTCATAGTATTTATTGTAGGCTGTACATAGTTAGATTCTGTGGATATCTTTGTATGGAAACAGAGCAAAAAAAAAAAAGAAGAGACAAAAACGTTTTGTGTATAGATCTGTGCAAATATTTTGTTATCATTGTTACTTTTCTTCCAATATATTTATTACAACGGTATTCGCATAATAACACACCATGTGACCGTTATCATAAAACGTTATGTACATACCACTAACCGGATAGTTGGAATCTCTTAATGGACAGTTTGACTGCACTTGATGTTTTGATACCAGAGGAAAGATGGGACTGAAGCCATTTGTACATTTAGCGGACTTTTTTAGCCAAGCACATGTTCTCATTCTGCAGATGTACGGCTAAAGAATTTCTACATATATTTGGTGCATCTGGAAAAACACTTTATCATCATCAGAAACTCATCTTTTAATCTTCTTGATCTTCCATATGTTGCTATGCTAATGTGTGTTAAATATAAAGTCGTTTCTGTGTGTTACATGTTTGGTTTATTACTGATTACAGCCTCCTGTACAGTATGTGCATCACTTTTTTTGTTCTTTTCATTTATATAAATATGTACTATTGCACGCAAAAATTTCAAAGAGCTGTGGGTTCAAAACCCATCCATCTCTTTGCAAAGCAGAATTGTTTTTAAATATGTACCTCTCCAGACATTTTTAGTAATAAGCATCCATGCAAGCACCTCTAAACACATAATAGGCAATCATTTGGAAGCATTAATCATTTGGAGCTAAACTTTAGGGGGCTTGTTTGAGTTTGCATGCATTGTATTTGTACTGTACAGATATGTAGTCAAATTCTGGATATTGCTGTGTTGCTGTATGGCCTTTGACATAACGAATCGAGAGAGAGAGAGACTGTTTTCTAAAGACAGAGGACTTTGCCGAACTAGTGATGGAATCGAGCACAATTACCAGATGTGTCTGTGTTGGCCTCCACTGTGTTTTCTCAACACACATCGCAAACGGACTGTGTGAAATGGTTGTTGTAAATGTTTTTTTTTTTTTCATTTGTAAGATGTTATTCATCACTGTGGTTTGTCCCCTTGTTTTGTCTTTTTTAGGATATTCTAATGTGAAAAAGATCCTGAATTAGATCTTATGAACAGTTAATATTATAGTATTGTATTTTTTATTTGTTTTGGGGTTTTTTTCATCGTTGTTGTTGACTAATTAAAGTTATATATATTTTATAACAAATACAGGTTGGCCTTTCTGCATAAACGTTACTGGGTGAACCTATACTTCCCTTCTTTTGCAGTCTCAGTGTAAAGATTGAAAGAGACACTTGAAAGAGGTTACAGTGAATAAGGCAATAGGTTGTTCACTTTACACCAAAAGTATACTAAGTTGGAAGTTCAAATGTTGATTTGCCTATTTAATTAACTGAGAAAATAGTACATTGTTTGGGAACTTTACATTAGGGTCATTCACAAGATCGAGTGTGATTTTGTATTTTCTTTAATACCGATTACAAGATTTTATGCTGCATTATTTCACCTCTGCCATTCATTTCACCTTTCTGTCATTCACAAAAGTAAGAGAAAAATGGCTAAAACTTTCGCAACTAGCAAATGTCATGACACCATAACACATTTCTAATTAATATTTGTGTACCTTCTGCCAAGAAAAAATTCTGATCACTGAATAGAACAATAAAAAAACTTTAAAATCTCAGCTTTATTTCAAATTTATTTTTGCATTACAAACTAAACTGAGATAAATCTATCAAACGTGACTGATTATTGTCTAATTATACCCAGTGTCATGATGAGAAAAATGTTGCAGAAGTAGCACCGGTTCCTAAGAATAGCCTATTAATACCCTGTGTATTTGCCCAGATAAATGCAAATACATATTTAATGCAGTGTACACTCTTAAAAAATAAAAGTTCCAAAAGTGGGGTTTTCACAGCGGTGCGAAAGAAGAACAATTTTTGGTTCCCTAAAGAACTATTCAGTGAAGAGTTCTTAAACAAACCTTTTTTTTTTCTTCTGTGAATAACATCTAAAGAACCTTTTTCGACCTTAAAGAACCATTTGTGCAGTGGAAAATTTTTATGGATGTTAACGTTTCTTTACAGAACCATCGATGCCAAGAAAGAAACTTTGTTATTGCATGTGGCATAAGAAAAGCTTTATTAATACTAGTTTTTATGATGATTTATTATGATCACGTATAAAACAACTTGGAACAAACTCTCAAATTGAAATGAATTGCTACTGATAAAAAGTACAATGAAGAAAGTGTCTCTCTCACATGTAATGCCTGTGGATTAAAATGTATCAATCTTTAGATTGGGGTCAGTGAGCTGTCACGTAAAAGACTAAAGCTCTTTAAATGCTGTGGTGCACACTGTGTCCACAACATGGAAAATGTCAACTGATCCCGATGACTACAGTGGGAAAGTGAGATTAGAATTACTCAGAGATGTCAATATTCAACATCAAGAACACATTTACATTCAGTCCAAGTTCTATTGAAAAAGCCTAAACTGTAATAGTCAACATATCCAATCATATGAAAGGAACATTAAAGATTTCAAGCTCAAATGCAAGATGAAAACTGACGCCTTACTGAAATTCAAACCAACGTGTAGTCAAACTGGAGACTCAAAATGTGATATATCTAAATCTTATTGCAAAAGACACTAAAATACTTGCATGCCTAAAAAACAACTTGCATTCCAGAATCAAGACATATTAAAAGTATGCATTTATATTATATATCACTGTTTATCATAACTGCAGGTGTCTTTGTCCGTGAGGTGATGTAGGTCAGGGTCATGGGATGTCAAGCTTGGACAAGGCTTAGGACAAAAATAATAAGCCTTAATGTAATCCTTCAAAAGATAAACACAGTAGAGGAGAAGGATGTATTCATTAATTCACATATGCATGCCAAAATAAATAAATAAAAAATACAATTAATTAATAATTACTGTGTGAATGTCTACAGTTTGACTAATCTTAGTGGGTTTACCCCTCAAAACAAAAAGCAACCAAGGCTTACCACACTTTTGTCGAATCAGTCGGCTAATAATCAATATCAGAAATATTATTATACTCCATGAAATCCGTTCAAAATACTGATGAGTTTGTCTAATAACTTTGGTCTCGTGATTTTAATTTCCTAAAGCATAACTTAAAGTCTACTATTACAATATATTACCATCTAGATTTATCTCAGCAAATACATGATTTGCAATACATTTTTAAGTGACATCTTAGAAAAATTAACGCACTGCAACAAATAACTTGCTGCTATATACTGTATTTAAACAACTGGTGTAAGATTCCCTTTTTTAAAGAAATTTTAAGACAAAGTCTAATGTTGAGCATTTCTATTTCAATAAATAAACACTGTTCTGTTATGTCAGTTCATCAAAGAATCCTGAAAAAATTGATCAGTTTCCACAAAAATATTAGGCAGGACAACTGTTTCAACATTGATAATAAAAAGAAATAGTTCTTGAGGTCCAAATCAGCATATTAGAATGATTTCTGAAGGATCATGTGACACTGAAGACTGGACTGCTGAAGATTCAGCTTTGCCGTCACAAGAATAAATTACATTACAAAATATATTAAAACCGAATAGTTATTTTAAATGGTAATAATTTCACTATATTACTGATTTTAATGTATATTTGATCAAATAAATGCACCCTTGGTAAGCATAAGAGACTTTGTTCAAAAACATTTAAAAATCGTACCAACAACTAACTATTGAACAGCATGGGAATATGTAATAAAAATGAATTAAAGCAATAATCGCAATACTAAACTAATTACTATCTTCTTCAGGTGCTGGTGAGTCGGGGGAAAAGCACTATTGTCAAACAGATGAAGTAAGTGCTGAGAAAAAATAAGTATGATAATACCATAAATTGGCTTATACAGGTGCATCTCAATAAATTAGAATGTCGTGGAAAAGTTCATTTATTTTAGCAATTCGACTCAAATTGTGAAACTCGTGTATTAAATAAATTCAATGCACACAGACTGAAGTAGTTTAAGTCTTTGGTTCTTTTAATTGTGATGATTTTGGCTCACATTTAACAAAAACCCACCAATTCACTATCCCAACAAATTAGAATATGGTGACATGCCAATCAGCTAATCAACTCAAAACACCTGCAAAGGTTTCCTGAGCCTTCAAAATGGTCTCTCAGTTTGGTTCACTAGGCTACACAATCAATTTATTGACTGACAAATCATTGACACCCTTCACAAGGAGGGTAAGCCACAAACATTTAATACACGAGTTTCACAATTTGAGTTGAATTACTGAAATAATTGAACTTTTCCATGACATTCTAATTTATTGACATGTATGTGAGACTATACTCATTATTCATTTGTATTCAGATGTGAGACTATACTCATTATTCATTGTATTCTCTTTCATATGAGTAGTTTGGTCAATTAAATGAATTAAATGTTTGTTTTTTTAATGACAGAATTATTCACAAAGATGGTTACTCCCTTGAAGAGTGCTTGGAGTTCGTTGTCATCATCTACAGCAACACCTTGCAGTCGATCCTAGCCATTGTGAGGGCCATGAGCACACTCAACCTTTCTTATGGAGATGCTCACAGGTGCTCTTCCCATTAGTCATTTACAGAAATAAACAGGTTAAATGATGGAAAAGAACTGTAGTGATACCATGGCAAAATGAGTATATCAGATGGTAATACTTTGGTATTGAATGATTATCATATGTACATGATCAAAACAACATGGTAACTTGTGCAAAAATATAAGATCCCACTTTATATTAGGTGTGTTTAAATATTTGTGTATGTAAAAAAACATTAATTGTTTGGTAGGGGCAGGGAGAGGTTCAACAGATATAACTGCATACAGGTACATGTACAACAGAAAAAAACTGTAACGGAATTGTTTATTGTGAAAACAAAGCATAGATGTCCCAGATTAATTACTAAATTCACACTATAGTATCCAATGAATTATAACTCCAGGATGTGTTAATTTTTTTTAAAGCTCATGCAATGAAAAAAAAAAAGTTGTGTAGGATCTCCTTTGAAACAGTTTTCTCTCATAGTAACAGACTGAACTAAATGTGAAATTTTTAAGTAGAAAGACCAAATTAGTATTATCTTGTATACCAAAAAAAAATTTGGTAATAACTGAAGCATTTTTAAAAACAGATTAATAGGGGAGATCATGAATGTTACACATCTAAAAGAGACTATTAAATCATGATGACCTTTACTCGACCCTCTTACTCTAGCACTCTCTCTTCTAATTCTAGTCTTTAAAAAAACTGGGCCCTTTTAGACTTGCACTCTATTCATTTACTAACTGCTTGTTTTCTTTAAAAAAAAACGAACACTAGCTTTTCTATTCTTTTTGTATTCTGTTTTCTTTTATTTATTATATAATTATCAAAAAGCAAAAAAGGCCTTTAACACTAGCTTGCTCTATTCTATCTGTTTTCTTTTTATTTATTATATATATATAGTATATACGTGTATTGCGTTACGCTAACTGAGACTTGTTATAGCACTTGCATATCATTGCTCTTTTGTTGATTTTGATTGCTTCCATTGTTCTCATTTGTAAGTCGCTTTGGATAAAAGCGCCTGCTAAATGACTAAATGTAAATGTAATGATGAAGGATTTTACAGTATTTACAGTCACTGATCATCACTTTAGAAAAGTTTGTATAGTAGCTAATGCTTAAACACCTTTAGTTACAACGGCCCAAATACATACAAGCTGATAAATATGTAAAAAGAAATTCCACATTCTTAAACTTAAAAACGTTGAAAAAATTTTGAATCTTGTATAGCTTCAAAAATGAAGTTAAATTATTTTGAATAATTAAAGTAACGTAAAAACATGATGTGTTGCCATGACCAGTGTTGGGGGTAACTCATTACAAGTAACGCGAGTTACGTAATCAGATCACTTTTTTCAAGTAACTAGTAAAGTAACGCATTACTTTTTAATTTACAAGAGAATATCTGAGTTACTTTTTCAAATAAGTAACGCAGGTTACTTTTTTTCCCTAATTTATTGACTGACAGCTCTCCTGTCCCCATGTTGAGAAATCAGAAGATGTTAATGTAGTTCTAAAATAAATATGAATATGCATTAATTCATCTCACTCACAAAAAAAACTTTAAAAAAAGAATGCAACTCAGAATATGACGCAAATCTGCAACAATTAAATGTTAAACAACACAAATATCCTTTATGTATTTAATCCCATTCTATTAACCAATGTCTTTGCTTCTGACCTTCGATGATCCAGTTCAACTATAATAATAAGCACAAATTACTCTAGACAAACATTCGTGTCTTTTTTTATTGCTGAAATGTGTTGAAATTTCTTCTTCTGGATTCTACTGTGCGGACTTAAATTTACTTTCCCTTCAGCCTGAGGCTTATTCATTTCACTTTTGGTGTGAAAAGGCTTTTATATTTGCCAAAAATATTACTTTTTTATTTTAAAAACAAACAAGCAAGCCCTGTCCAGATTTAAAGAGTAACGCAAAAGTAACGTAACGCATTACTTTCCAAAAAAAGTAACTAAGTAACGAAATTAGTTACTTTTTTTATGGAGTAACGCAATATTGTAATGCATTACTTTTAAAAGTAACTTTCCCCAACCCTGGCCATGACTGATTGAAAAAATCATTTATTACATCAATTTACCTGTTTGCTGCAGGATGATGCAAGGAAGCTGATGCACTTAGCAGACACCATCGAGGAAGGCACCATGCCAAAGGAGCTGTCTGACATCATCCTGAGGTTGTGGAAGGACTCGGGCATCCAGGCGTGCTTTGACAGAGCCTCCGAATACCAGCTCAACGACTCTGCCGGATAGTATGGTCTCATAATTAGCCTTTTAAAGCATTAAATACCAGTTCGCAAGGTTTTAATGTCCATAATTAAATTTGTATTGATTCTTACTCTATCTCCAATCTATCTGAATGACCTGGAGAGGCTGGTCAAGCCTGGCTATGACCCTACTGAACAGGACGTCCTGCGATCAAGAGTGAAGACCACCGGTATCATCGAGACCCAGTTCTCCTTCAAGGACATCAACTTCAGGTACACCTTCAGCCTTCTCAATGATAGCTATGGCATGAAGTAAACCAACCAATGACCATCATCATCTCAAAATTCCAAGCAAGTTTAACAATCAGAATTTAATAAGATAAGTTTGAATGGACACCAATGCCAATAAACTGATCTTCGTGGTCTGCAGGATGTTTGATGTGGGCGGTCAGCACTCGGAGAGGAAGAAGTGGATCCATTGCTTCGAAGGTGTGACCTGTATCATCTTCATCGCTGCTCTGAGCGCATACGACATGGTGCTGGTGGAGGATGATGAAGTGGTAGGTTGCAACTGTGGTCCATCAATGAAATTCCAACCGGGCGTTTTACATGCACTATTACTATGAGGCATTTTAGTAACATACCGTTTTTCCATGCCGTTCCAACCAAAGAACCGGATGCATGAGAGTCTCCACCTGTTCAACAGTATCTGTAACCACCGTTACTTCGCCGCCACCTCCATTGTACTCTTCCTCAACAAGAAGGACGTCTTCGTGGAGAAGATCAAGAAAGCTCATCTGAGCATGTGCTTCACTGATTATGATGGCGAGACAGCATTTTGTCTGCAAACAAAAATATAAACTTAATTCTTTAACATACAGATTCTTATCATTTAAACAGATTATTTAAACTGATAATATTAACACATTTTAAGTAGGGGTTCATCATGGAACATCACTTCTATTAAGATACAAATATCCTAATTAGGCTTCTGTTTCTGATATGCAAAACCATGCTAAAAATACAATGCCATGCATCTCTCAGGTCCCAACACCTTTGAGGACGCTGGTAACTACATCAAGATGCAGTTCTTAGATCTGAACTTGCCACGAGACATCAAAGAAATCTACTCCCATATGACCTGTGCCACAGACACAGAGAACGTCAAGTTTGTGTTCGATGCCGTAACAGACATTATCATCAAATAAAATCTCAAAGACTGCAGTCTCTTCTAAACAAGCCATCTGTGGGAAGAGGTGATTATAATTTAAAATCATAAATATTGAGGAATAATATAAAGTGCTGTTATTATAGTATATTAAACGTGACTATAATTTCCATATGTGCATAATTAAAAAGTCTTTCTTCTTTTACAGAGCAGCTTAATCAACAAAACCCAATACTGACCCATTGCCCCTTGTATAGGTAATGAGGAATTCTCCAGTGCACACACACATACATGCAAATACACGAGGGAACTGAATTGATTCAATCTTGAAGAAGAAATTATATTCTTGCTGTTGGGATCTACATCTGATTAAACACACTGCACATAATTAAACATCAGAGTCTAATACATATTCATAGCAGCAAGTCATATATAGCAACACATATATGAAGGGTGTTTGGCTCTATTAGTATTTGCAGTGATCTATCCTGTAGATTTGCGACTACACTTCACGCAGCTGTAAACCAAATAACTATCCTTCTGAAACACCTGCATATGCGCTTCAGTATCTTCTTGCAAGAGTACTTTATAGCAGTTACTGTGTCAAGTTCATACTTTTAAGCTGGCTGAGAAAAGTTATGACTTTACCGGGAACAAAGTTCTCTTTTATTTACAGAGGAGTTATATCATGTTATGTCTCATGATCAGAATCTCTATGTAAGATGGATGACTTTGATGAAAAGACAGCATGTAATAAGTTGTTTAGCTCAGGAGCAGCTAGCTGAGAGACAAAGAACACACTTTTTGAGTGAATTGTATAAATTACAAAATCAAATATTGATTAAAAGGGCACAATTGACTGCAAAACCATTTACAACCATGCAAATGGAAATTGAACGAATAAAGCTTCTGTAGAACCTGATGTGTTTGTCCTTTAAGTGTCCTGAAAAGATGAAAACCAATGAACAACTGAAACCACACTGGCATTGTGGAGTGTTTAATATACACTTACATAATATTTCTTGAGAATGATTTATATTTTAATTAATCAGCTTATGAATATAATAATAATAATGAATCAAATAATTTTATGAATATAGATTTTTATCATCGATTTGTATATATTATAAAACCTGCTAAATTGAAGCCTCTTAACACCAGTATATCCAGGTTTATTAATTTTGAGAGGTTTAACTACAACTTATTGATCACAGAAAACAACTTTGTTTTCTGTTATGATTGATTGATTACACAGGTACTGTAGCATCTCTGGCTTACAGTTTAAATTGCGTTTAACCCAGAACATTTACTTAAGAATATCAAGACCTGACTGTACCACTAACTGATGTGAAAAACATTGCATTTTTTTTTATGTCTTTTGCAGCTCCATGAAGCTAGACTGTCAAAGAGTGCACTCAATTGCACAATATAGAAATTGATCAGCCCAAAGAATCAAAAGCAGTTTTGTAATGCATTTTAGGATTCTGAAGAGCCAAACTGCCCGGACTGTTTTTTTTTTAGGCTGTGGACCTTTGCTGACTGGATCTGAATACATAGCCAAACCCAAACACCTGGTCCAAATTAAGACAATAGATAAAAATAGAAGACAACTTTTATGTCCCAAAACACAACAACTGATACTGGTTGATTTGTTGACCACATCATGTGCAAAAAGAGACTGAAAAGTTCTCTTATTGGAGAGTTATTGAACCCCTCCAGGGGGTTTTTATGTGTTGAGATGTCCAGGGACAGTACTGATGTCAGGACAGCCCCACCATGTGGTCTATTTGCCTCATGTATATGCTCTTTAGCGGAAGGCCGTAACGTCGCTCTTCAGGAATCCTTTCACACTATTAGACAAATGAAAATGTGTCAATTAAGTTAAGCCCATCTGTTGTGTGCTCCTTTAAGGCGTATAAAACAACTGTTTTTGAAATATAAAGCTTATTTGAGAGCTTGTTCCTTGAGTTGAAAATCTGAAACATGCATACCATCTCAACCCAGTAAAGCCCTTTATAATATCAAGTTTCAATAAACATGGCACTGAAGTAAACATGTAACAGTGTGTGTAAACGCACTCAATTGCACAATATAGAAATTGATCAGCCCAAAGAATCAAAAGCAGTTTTGTAATGCATTTTAGGATTCTGAAGAGCCAAACTGCCCGGACTGTTTTTTTTTTTAGGCTGTGGACCTTTGCTGACTGGATCTGAATACATAGCCAAACCCAAACACCTGGTCCAAATTAAGACAATAGATAAAAATAGAAGACAACTTTTATGTCCCAAAACACAACAACTGATACTGGTTGATTTGTTGACCACATCATGTGCAAAAAGAGACTGAAAAGTTCTCTTATTGGAGAGTTATTGAACCCCTCCAGGGGGTTTTTATGTGTTGAGATGTCCAGGGACAGTACTGATGTCAGGACAGCCCCACCATGTGGTCTATTTGCCTCATGTATATGCTCTTTAGCGGAAGGCCGTGAAGTCGCTCTTCAGGAATCCTTTCACACTATTAGACAAATGAAAATGTGTCATTTTATTTCTATGACCACTTTCAAGATCCATTGTCATGTCCCTGACAAAACACTACTTTAAACACTGTAAGTACATTTTGAATTAGGTTTTAAAAGTTTCATGTTTAAATGATCAAAAAAAGCACATTAAACAAAAACGAGTTGCTCATATTTTCATGTTTAAAAATGTGCCCCAAGAAGCTAAAAAAGGGGGGGGGGGGGGGGGTCAATGGCTGATAATTATTTAAAATAAACAGACATTTTTTGACTGTAGAATGAGAAATCAGCATTTAAGCAAATATCCTTAAAGGGCAAGTTTTGAAGAAGCATATAATTGACTCGACAAGAATCAATTAAAAAAAAAAAAAAAATCCTTTAACAAATTTCATTTTAATACAAGAGAGTAAAACTAGTTTCATTTATGAATATCCCCACTACTAATCATATTCATAAATCGAAGGAAAAATACTGTGTATTAAATCAATTTCTTACGTTGCTTATGTTGGCTGGGGGCTCATTATTAGGCTCTTCACATGGAAACTGCTCTTCCCAATTTTTCTCCCTGAAGCGCTGATCTATCGGCACTACATGGCCTTCTGTAGTGAAGATGTACTTACTCTCAGATCTGTGCAGTGGGTTATCTTCATCAAAGAGCTGTAAAGGAATGTTAAATATCATTTAGTGATGGACATGTCAGCTGCATAAAACTTAATGTTTGGCTAATAAACTTGGCTGACTATGTTTGTAGTTTTTCAAATAAAAGTATGGCTAAAAAAAGACTAGATGCAAAAAGTGAGAACAGGAAAATATAAAGGGAGAATAGTAGACAACTAACCAGGTAAAGGTATTTGCAGGTTTCGCTGAGGAAGAAACTTTCCATGCGATCTTCTTTGGACTTATCCACCACATGATGGAGAGTGGCATAACCACACCTGAGAAGCATACAACCAAAACAACTGTCCTGAGAACATGCCAGCATCCCAATAAAATCACTTTCTGCCATTTTAAACCATATACCTGACTTTGGTATTTTTTTCAAGGCTTTCAAGAATGTCCATCCCAACGTGAAGATAAAAAGGATTCTTGGTTGCCTGCAGAGATTCAAGTTTATCATTAATTATACTGTAATGCTGTGAAGTCTAAAAATCTGGTTATGATGGGACCAGGTTGTACCTGATAGAGTAGGTATGTGGATTCTACTAGTTCTGGTCTTAAAGGGTAGAAGAGAATATCTGGGGCCTGAAGCTGCCAGTTGTATCTTTCCGGAAGAGCACCGAAACGCTTCCAGATTGCATAGTAGAAGGCATGAAGGCAAATGGCATTTTCAACATCTCCATTCAAAACCTGAGCAAACAGATGTGTCCCTGGTTAGAACCCAAATGAACTCAATGAAAAAAGGCTGTCAGCGGGTCTACTTTTTGTTCAACAATCCAAAGTCCAGTCAAAGCCACTAGAAGGCCGAAAAAGCGTAACGGCTGAAGCTGACGCTTCCGGTCTGTCAGTACGTGGGAAAGGAGACCAGAGGCCGTTTTTTTTTATGGATGTCAACGGAGAAGAGGCTTCATTACGCTGAATAAACAGCTTTTTAGAGGAAACGGCTTATTTAATAAATCGACAGCCTATCTGCTAATCTTCAACATGTTTTACACTAAGCAATACTTTTGAATTTAACTATTTTTAGAGTTTAAACCGGAAAAATGCTGTTTTATAAGAGACGTCTCTGACTTTTTGCGACAGGTGTGATTCGGCTTATGGCACTTCCCATTCATTCCTATGGAATCCGTAAACAGAGATTTAGTGTCGCACAACTGACTAAAATTGAATGATGCCAAGGCTGCAATGTGATTGGTTATTAAGGCACACGTGATGCGAGTTAGCCATTACGCTTTCTCCAATAGTAAGTAATACAGACCCTCTCATCTCCCTATAGTAAGATAATCTCTGGTCCAGTCTGGCAATTGAGTATGTCAAGTATGCACTAGAGTAAAGTAGCAATGTATGTACTTATATAACAGAAACACACTATACATGTTCATTATTAATACAATTGTTCTAGTCAGCTGCCTTTGAAGAAATAGAAACAGAACCTCATCAGGGGCTGATTTAAAATGCTCTAATTGAGAAAAACTATTGTCGTTTTGTTCTAATAAACAAATGTACCTTGCAAACACAAA